AATAATTAAGTTATTTTTATTGCTTTATTATTAATATTAATTAATATTTATATATAATTACAATAATCTAATAATGAGCGATGTTTGTCACGATGATTAATATTTTTCTTTATCGTTCGTCAATTCTATACAGAAAATTAAAATAAAATATTTATTATTATAACTTATTTTAATAGTTCAATATAACTTTAGAATTTATTATTATTTTATTATGATTTTGTTATGTTAATGATTTTTTATGCTTTTCAAGAATGAATAAAGTTGAAAAGATCGATTCTCTTTCTTTGTTTAGGGATGGTGACGAGGATGTCGATTATGAAGGCTCGACACATTTGGTCTGCGTTCCTCGATCTCAGGAAATTAAAGATTCTTCGAATGCTTCTAGCACGATGAAGGTTAATATCGAGGGTATGAGATGTCAAAGCTGTGTGAAGAATATTGAGGGAACTATAGGTAGTCGATCAGAAATTCTAAGCATTAAAATAATTCTAGAAGAAAAGTTAGGTTATATTGAATACAAAGCAAACGAAATTACACCTGAAAAATTAGTCGAAATTATAGAAGATATGGGTTTTACCGCTTCTTTATTCAAGGAGGAAAATAATTCTATAGAAAAAAAACAGATAAATCATGTATCACAATCAAATATTAGTACATGTAGTATACACATTGATGGAATGACTTGTATGTCTTGCGTTAAAACTATTACTGGTAAGTAACAAATTTTTTAAATCTTGTTCGCAACAAAAAAGAAATTATTGGATTTTTTCTTTTTTCCAATGTTAGGAGTTTTATCAGAGAAATCAGGAATAAAACAAGTAAATGTTAGTTTAGAGAACAAGGAAGCCAGAGTTTCTTATAGCGATAATGATGTAACAGCTGATCAAATATCGGGATTCATTGAAGAAATGGGTTTTAATTCGTTTGTTAAAGAAGTAAATGGCACGGTTTATAGCACATCGATTAATTTGAACAATAATCCTCCAGACAGTGGAAATGTTTCATTGGAAATGAATGGAGGAGGTGATGTAAAAAAAGAGAATCAAACAGCAAAATGCTTCTTACATATAACGGTAAATATTATATAAAAAAAAGAATATGTTTTGGAATTGCACTAAAGATTAATTAAAATAAAACTTGTCAAGGTCATCAATTTGAATAACCTTTTTCTATATATATTTATAACTATCGATCTTAGTCGAGATGCAAAAATATTACGTATCGTCTAAGATTCGGATGATTAGGTTTGAGTTAAATTTAATTAACTTATGGAATTAATTTAAGTTTAATTTAAATTTGAATTTGAAATTAATTCAGATTTGTGTGTTTCGATTAAAAGGTTGAAAAATATTGCAGAAATAAAAAAAAAAAATCTTCAAATAGAATATTCTTCATAGTTCGCTTCGCGATGCTATATAATTTTATCTAAAGATGTGACAACTTTAGCTAATATGCATATTTATTTCTATAATTTATTAAATTTATTATAATTAATCCATATGTATGTCTTATTTCCAAGTGACTTCTTTTCAATCATAAATAGTTACCATAAATTGATGAACTTTTTAATAATTGCATTTTTTTTAATATTATGACTAAAATATTTTCAATTTCAAATCATGACGATGTAAAATTCTTAAATTATTAAAACTTATTTATAAATCTATCTCAAACTTTATTCAAACGTGTATAAATACGATGAATGGAAAATATTTTTTGTGTATAAAATCTTGATTTGTAAATAATAACTGAATAATTTTCTAAAATAAGTAAATTATGTTTTTTTTATTTGAAATCATAAAATAAAAGATACGAAAACGAGTGAGAAATGCATAACGAAGGAAGACGTAAATTTTTATATTTGTTTGAAATTGCATAGTAACAGATTGAAAATAAATATCATTCTATTCTTTTTGAAGGATAACATTGTTATTCGGCTTATCTCTTTATGATTTGTTGTTATCTCAAATCTTTCATCCCATTCGAGAATAAGGTCAAACCGAATAGCATGCTTTATCTATAATAAGTAATTGCGATTTGTTTATTTCGGTATAAAACTATATCTTATCTAAAAATTAATATGCAAGTTACATATAAATAGTGTATAAGAAGAAATCATTCAATATGATGACCTTGAAAATATATTTCAAGATCAAAATCAATAAATCTTATTTTCTATTCTAAATGTTAAAAATTAATTTATGCTAATAAGCTGTTTCATCGAGTATATTGGATTTGACAATAAAAATAGAATTAAACAATTATAATAATTATAATAATTATAATAATTGCAACTTTTTTTGAAGAAAATTTGAATTTTCAAAGATTTTCCATTTTTCATTATTCTCTATATTATCTGTCTTTCATATCAATTGGTCACCAATATTTTTCGTAAAATATTTTAATTCATTTTCAATTCATTATTGTTTTAAAATAAATTATTATAAATGATTTGTGAACTTAAAGGGAATGACTTGTGCTTCCTGTGTTGCTGCCATAGAAAAACATTGTAAAAAATTATATGGTGTAAATAGTATTTTGATTGCATTGATGGCAGCCAAAGCAGAAGTTACATTTGATCCGGATAAGATAAGAGCAGTAGACATTGCATCCAGCATATCCGAATTGGGTTTTCCTACTACTTTGATTGAGGAACCTGGTACAGGGGAAGGTGAAGTTGAATTGAAAGTAAGCTCTATATTCAATTTCAATTTCGCCGCTAAAATCATTTATTTCATGTGATTTATAATTAATGAGATCATTTTCAATTGTGATTTCATAGATTGCAGGTATGACATGCGCATCTTGTGTGAATAAAATAGAATCAACTGTGAAAAAATTGCCAGGTGTTCATTCTGCAGCAGTTGCATTAGCCACTCAACGTGGTAAATTCAAATATGATGTAGAAAAAATTGGCATTAGAGATATTATTGAATGTATTAACAAATTAGGTTTCACAGCCATGTTATTTAGTAATAGAGATAAAGAAAATAGAGACTACTTGGATCAAAAGTAAGCATGGCATTTTATTTTGTATTAAATAAGTAGGAAATTTATTATATTATTTTATATTATATTATTTTTTTTTATAGGGAAGAAATAAATAAATGGAGGACTGCATTTTTAGTTTCTTTAATTTTTGGTATACCATGTATGTTAGCTATGACATATTTTATGGTGGATATGTCCATTGGTGAAAAAACACATAAGGATATGTGTTGTATAGTACCTGGTCTTTCTTTGGAAAATCTAATTCTTTTTATATTTTCTACTCCAGTTCAGGTAATTGAGTATTTATTTAAATTGAAAAATCATTTTTTTAGAAAATTAATATTTATAGTTTAATAAATAATAATATTTATAGTTTTTTGGTGGCTGGCATTTTTATGTACAAGCATACAAAGCTTTAAAACATGGAACGACAAACATGGATGTTTTAATTTCTATGACTACTACAATATCTTATTTGTATTCAGTTGCCGTACTTACAGCAGCCATGATAATGCAAGAACATGTTAGTCCTCAGACATTTTTTGATACTCCTCCAATGTTGTTAGTGTTCATAAGTTTAGGAAGATGGTTGGAACATGTTGCAAAGGTTTTAATTTTTTATTGAAATATTATGCTTATATTATTTAGAAAAATTATTGAATCAATAAAATACAATATTTCAGGGCAAAACTTCGGAAGCTTTATCGAAATTATTGTCTTTAAAAGCAACGGACGCAGTTCTTGTTTCATTAGGTCCTAATAATGAGATATTATCTGAACGTTTAATCAGTATAGATTTAGTACAACGAGGAGATATATTAAAAGTAGTGCAAGGTGCTAAAGTTCCTGTCGATGGTAAAGTTCTATCAGGTCATTCTACTTGCGACGAAAGTTTGATTACTGGAGAAAGCATGCCAGTGCCAAAAAAGAAGGATCAGTTGTAATAGGCGGTTCGATAAATCAAAATGGTCCACTTTTAATTACTGCCACACATACAGGAGAACATACGACATTAGCACAAATTGTGCGATTAGTAGAAGAAGCACAAACAAACAAAGCACCTATCCAACATTTAGCCGATAAAATAGCGGGTTATTTCATTCCTCTTGTTATAGCTGTTTCTATAGTGACTTTAATTATTTGGATAATAGTGGGATACATAAATATAAATAGTTTACCAATTTCGCACAATGATCAAATTAATAAACAGGGAATGAATAGAGAAGAGATTATATTTCAGTATGCTTTTCGAAGTGCTCTTTGTGTATTAGCAATAGCTTGTCCATGTGCTTTAGGATTAGCTACACCAACTGCTGTTATGGTTGGTACTGGAGTTGGTGCATTAAATGGTATTTTAATAAAAGGCGCTGAACCATTGGAAAATGCGCACAAAATTAAATGCATTGTTTTTGATAAAACCGGAACGATAACACACGGTGTATTAATGGTAACAAAGATAAGTCTCTTTGTAAATGAAAAACTTTGTTCATTAGCAAAATTCTTAGTTATTGTTTGTACTGCTGAAGCAAACAGTGAACATCCAATTGCATCAGGTAAAATATTGAAAATCTTTATACATATTTATTAAATTTAACATAAAATTTAACATAATTTTTAGAAAATCTTGTTTTTTCTTCTAAAGCGATTGTCCGGTACGTAAAGGAAACAATAGCTTCCGAAACAACTGGACAGTGTATGAATTTTCAAGCAGTTGCTGGTTGTGGACTTAAATGTAAAGTGTCATATATTTCAAATATATTGACCGATGCATTAAAATCTGAGAAAATTATTAACTATATTAATGAGGTAAAAAAATTATCTTCTGGAACATATACCTTAAACAATGTGCCAATTGATGTTACGCCAATTACAAATACAAGTCAAGAAAGACAGAATTTGGATCTGGAATTATTGTTGAATCCAGATTCTCATGGTGATCAAAGTAATCTTGAGGATGTATACGAAATATGCATTGGTAATAGAGAATGGATGCGAAGAAATGCTATAAATATACCACAAGAAGTCGAATTAAAAATGGTTGCCGAAGAAGAGTTAGGATGTACTGCTGTTTTAGCAGCAGTGAATAATGTATTAGTGGCTATGATTAGTGTAGCAGATACAGTTAAACCAGAAGCTCATTTGGCAGTCTATACTTTAAAAAAAATGGGTTTAGAAGTTATTCTGTTAACTGGAGATAATAGAAAGACAGCTGTTTCTATTGCCAGACAAGTAAATTACTTCATTTCATTTAGTAATTTCATACTTGTTTTTTATGAATTCATTTAATATTTTATCATTTTTTATAGGTTGGTATTACTAGAGTATTTGCAGAAGTGTTACCTTCACATAAAGTTGCTAAAATTCAACGTTTACAAGATCAAGGATTAAGAGTTGCTATGGTAGGAGATGGTGTTAATGATAGTCCAGCTCTTGCACAATCAGATGTTGGTATTGCAATATCTTCTGGTACAGATGTTGCTGTAGAAGCTGCTGATGTAGTTCTCATGCGAGTAAGTTAAAATAATTTTTTTTTAACATTTTATGTTTTATATAATAATGTTTAATATTAATAATAATAATTTTTTAGAACGATCTTTTGGATGTTATTGCATGTCTGGATTTATCGAGAAAAACTGTTCTTCGAATAAGGCTGAATTTTTTATTTGCTAGTATCTATAATTTATTGGGTATTCCCATTGCTGCTGGAATATTTAGTTCTTTTGGATTCTTCCTTCAACCTTGGATGTCATCAGCAGCAATGGCATTAAGCTCAGCATCTGTAGTTGGCAGTTCTTTGTTATTAAAATTGCAAGTATTAAATAGAAAGAATTTCATATTTAAAAATTTCATATTTAATATTATGTTATTTATTTTATTTTTAGATACCATAAACCAACAAAGGCTACATTAGAAACACCAGAATATTTATCAGCAATGCATGCTCATTCTACTGCAAGAATGATTGATTTAGATACAATATCTCTTCATCGTGGTTTAGATGATTCTGTGTTACCCATTATGCATAGATCGACATCGACATTATCCAGGTATGCTCAAACCACTCCTATATTTTCAAAATTTATAAGGAATTGTAACAATTCTACTGCTTGATAGAATTTGATATCAAAATTATAAATTGATATTTTTCTCAATTGTAACATACTAATATCAAGGTGTCAGTTTTTAATAAATTGTATGTGCTTGTTCTTTATTATTTACATCATTAATATTATATTAAACTAACAAAAATATTCAGAACATTTATTTAAATAGAAATTATGATAAAACTACTAACTTAGTTTTTGATATCATGTGAGTCATGTTTTTGATAATATATGTAATTTTTTTTTATAAATAGTAAATTTTTTATCAATATTTTAATTATATTGTAAAAAAATAAAACAGGCTGTGAACTTTAAATTAATTTTACGAAAACATTTCGTTTTCATCAAATAATGATTTATTATTAATTAAAACTATTATTAAAACTATATAAGACTGATTAAAAGAAGTTTTGTCCAATAAAAAATTATTCTTATATGAATTTTAAATAGTCACAAAATATAATATCAAAATAATACTTTAACAGGAACATTTTTAATTCTATTATATAAATTGTAAATATTGTATTAAATGTAAATAATTGATATTAAATAAGATATATTTTATTGTATATCAATTTCAATTATTGTAAAAAAATTTTGTAAATAAATATTCATATCTTTTAAAAATCCATATGTTATCTATTAAATAAATTATTTGATCCTAAAAATTTGCTTATTTCTTAATCTTTGTGTATTTTTTGCATGTTTTTACAGTTATCATCTTTTATGATCTATATGTATTAGTTAAATATTGTCTTGGAGATTTATGATGTTGTAGTAGAAAATTTGTGAGAACTCTTTTCTCAATCTTTTTGATTGCAAGAGTATTCTATGTAATTGTAAATTTTTTCTTTGCTAATTCGGCAATGTATCTGATTAATATGCTTACAGAAAAAAGAAAGAAAGCAAGTAGCAATAATCTATAAAATATATTATAATTAATTTGATTATTAAATTATATATTTTAAATAACATTTCACTAATGCTTATGTTATTATAATAATTATTCATTAACATTAAAAAATTTAGATGTCTTATGCAATATTTTGCTGTATATTAGCTTAACATAAAATGATGTGACATAATTATAAGAAATAATTCATGAAATATAAGAATATCATCAATAAGTATAAAATAAGGTAATATGTATATTTTAATCTATATAGTAATACTTAATATTTTTATATTTTTATAATAAATTTAATAATTCATTCATATTTCAATTCCAGATTATTTCGAAGATCAAAGGATGATATCGAAGGTCGGCTTTTGAGTGAAGATGTTGATGAAATTGATTTGATAACTGATTTTTCCGGTTATCGAAAAAATATGAAGGACCATACAAATATAACACCATTATAACTTGTAAGAATGTCTTTCTTAAATAACTATATTATTTGTGTGTCTATACGTGAGCACTCTTGTATATATTTACATATATTTTATGAATAATATAATAATCTAAAATTTAATGAATATTTAATCAGAATAGTATAATCTTTATTCTAAAACAGTTTCAGAATATATTTTATAACTAATTGTTAAATTTTTGATACTAATTATTAAGTTGTATAAAATCAAACAAAATGTAATTAAGAACTCTAATGTTTTTATAGATCTGCTATTAATTGCTTTTTTTACATTAAGTTTATCAATAGTATTATCATACTTATATTTTTTAATTATTTAAAGTAAAATAATTAATAATTTTTTATATTACATTATATAGTAATATATCTTGTACTTAATATATTTTATAAAAAATGCAATTATTATTTTATATATTTATATTCAAATATAAATATATAAATTTTATATAAATATAATATAATTATTATATTGTAACATAATATTTATAATTCAATATTATATTTCAAGTATTATAAAAGAAAAAATAAAAAGATCATAGGGACCACGTTGGTTCAATTATGTACAAATTTGAAATGCTTTAAAGTTTAAGAAAATATATATTTTATTTGTTGCATAAATATGATATACAATGAATTTTTACAACTTAAATAAATTTTAAGAAAACTGAAATAAAATATTATTCAATAAATTGTAATATTTTGATTTACATAATTATATTAAATTGTTTTCTCTATTAAAAATATATATTTTATAAATAAATTTTTCTTACTTATTATAAATATTTTTTAAAAACATCTTTTTGTTTCTTTATAAAAATGTAAATTGATAGTAAAAAGAGAAAGATTACATATAAATTATGATATTAATATATTATGTTTATTTTATATTTCAAACTTAAAGCATGTATGTTTAAAATATTCTTAAAGTTTATCTGAAAGAAAGACTTTTGTATACTACATATTTATCTTAAAAATTTTTACCGATATAAAATAAATATTGAATATTTGTAATTTAAAAAAAAAAATGAATACTTGTAACATATAAAATTTTATATAAATTTAATTTGTAAAATTTTTAAATATTATAATATTTTAATTATATTGGTTAATCATATTAGCACAGGATGGGATGAATGTATTTATTTGTGAATGTATATCATCTGACATTACAGTTGAATTTAAATTATAAGCATTAAAGTTTGCTTGAATATCATTAACACCATCATTAGAAATATGAGTTAATTTTTTATTATTACATACAGAATATGTATCTGTATAAATAGGTAAGTTAAAATTACTTTGTTCTTCTAAATGATTTTTAATCAATGGTAATGGATAAGGTGTGATAGAATTTTTTACATTAAAACACGATTCCAAGTTAGTGATGTGAGGAATGCAAATTGATTGTGCATTTTTTAATGATTGACAATTGTTATTATTTATAGAAGTTGTGCTATTGCATTTATTTAAATAGAAATCATTATAAAAGTTTGGATTTAATGAGAAATTATTATACTGTACAGGATAATGTATATTATTTTCTTGTGAAATTTCGCTATCATTAGTTAAATTTTCATATTGCATATTTGTATCAGAAACATTATAAAGTAAATTTTTATTTATATATCTGGAATTTTGATGTTCTTTGGAAATATTTTGTGAATTTATTAAATTACATGTAAAATAATCCTCTTCTATATTAGAAATTTTTTTAGTATTTGATTTTGACTGAGTAATATTTTGTATATCATTTAATATTTCCAAATTATTATATTGTACATTATGATTCATATAATTATAATTGTTATTTGTTAAAGTATTTTCTTCATTATAAAAATATTTATTATGTATTCTATTTTCCATATTATTTACTTGAGAAGTTTCTGCACATTTTAATAGATCCTGATTTATATTTGAGTGTAGAATTTCATATATTTTTGAATTTTCTTCTATATGTTGATTTTCATTAAGAGTATATAGATCTGCAATTATGTCTTCATTGTTTTTAGATTTCATATTTTGTATATCAGAAAACTTATCATGAAAATGTATATTTTCATTAAATATATTATTGACAAAATGACTTGTAAATGGTGGTAAGTTATTATTTTTATAATGTCCATCTGATTTATATTTTTTATATAATACATATAATTCATCCTGTGTAAGTGTTGAATAGTTTAAGGGTTGTTTGAATAAGTAATTTAATTGTTGAATTTGATATTTATATGCTTCTCCATTATATTTTAAAAGCATATTAGGAATGCTTAAATTTTCTTTAACCTTCTGACATTTTTTTATATTCTTTTGCTTTAATTTTTGTGTAACATTCACTTTTTTACAATGTTGTGATAAATCACATTTTTTCTTTTTAGCATTCTGTAACTATGATTTATATTTAATTTTAATTTCTTTTATTAGCAATAAAATTTTAAAATGTTAAATGTATGTATCTTACCAAACTGTTGATTTTTAATGTATTATTATTTTTATCTTCAATTAATATGTGTGATCTTTTATCTCCTTGAATCATATTGATATCTAAATTTAAGTACAAATTTATATTATATCTATATTATAATATTTAATAATTTTATTATATTAATTTTAAAAATAAGTTTATATTAAAGTTAATAAATTAATTTTATATTAATTATTAAAATATTCTATTTTAAAAATAATATTTATATTACAATAAACGTTATGAAATATTAATAATAAGTATAATAAATGATAATAATAAATGAATTATTTATGCAATTTCTTACTTATATTTTTAAATTCAGGATTTATTTTAAAGTTTATTTCGTTCAGTTTCACTTTCTGTCATTCAGATGTTTTAGAGAATACACGTGATAATATGCAGATATATTTCGTTATAAGGTATTTATTTTTTTTTGAAGATCTATTTATTTTATTTTTTATTTGTTTATAAATTTAATATATTTAATGTAAATAATTGTTTAAAATATATTTTTTTTCGAACTATCGACTACCGATGTATTATCACTTTGAACTCATCGAAATAATAGTAACATTCTATAAAATACATTTTAGTGAATTTTTATTTTTATGGGATACTTTAAAACGATGATCTTTTATTTTCCCTATTTTTAATTCTATACATCTTTAATTTCTAGTTAAGTAATATTAAGATTAATTTCAATACTTTCTTATAGAAATACTTTTAATTTTTCATGTAGTGAATAACGAAAACAATATTTATTAAAGAAATTTAAATATATATTTTTCTTATAAAAAAAAGATAAAACAAGGATAAAATAATAGGTTGTTTTTTTATTTAAAATATATAATACATATTATGCATATGTTTCTATTTATTGTTTTCATTAATTTAAAAACATTTACATTAAAAAAATCTGTAAATATAAATATGAGATACAAAAAGATTATATAAAATATTTTAATTTTATTTATAACAATTAAGACACTTATTTTGTTCTTCATTATCATATCTGTAAAAAGAAATAAATAAAAAAAGTTTAATTTTCTAATACTAAATATAATTTTCTAATACTAAAATATATTAAATTTAATTTAATATTAATTAAATATTAAAATAACTTACGTGGGTAAAGAACAGTTTTGACAAAATAGTTCTGAGCAATTGATACATTCAAAAAGACAAAAATTACATAAAATTTGATCGCAATAGGAACATTTACTAAACATATTTTGATTTATTATTCGACTGCATTCACAAAGATCATATTTTGGTTGAATATCCTTATAGAAAATAAAGAAAGTAAGATATTTAGTAAAGTAAGATTAGATAATTTTATTTTAAAACTTTTATGTTTATATTTGTTTATATAAGATAAATATATTTATAATAAAAAAATATATCTAAGAATTAGTAAATAATTAACTTACCTTTATAATTTTATCTGCTCGTAATAATTCTAATTTATTATTTAATATCATTTGTTTTTGAATACGTTCATTTTTGAATTTGCAACAAGATTTCGACGATGGTATATTAATGGGATCTAATTCTGTGAAAGTATTTAATCTTTGTGATAATGTTTTAACACCTTCTTTTAATAAATCCATTGTTTTCTCTATATAAAATAAAAAGAAAAATTAATGCTTATATTATTAATTATATAATATAATAGTATTAATATTTATATTTCGTTTGAAAATCCTGTATTATAACCTCCATACCATAAACATTTTTCATTCGTTCCTCTTGACAAACACCGTTATCTACTTGTTTCTGACTTACGTGTACTTTCAATTGGGGTAATAAATTATCTTCAAAAGGACATGGACGTTTTGGCATTTTTTAACTTAAATTAATAAACAAAAGATCTATAAGCATACCGCCAAAATTTTATAACATCTTTTCACATTTGACATAACAAGTCAACTATCTGATTCATGCAGAAGTTAAATATATTTGTGAAATATCTTTTTAGAAAATTAACAAGCAAAAATAAACATAAAAGTTAATATAAAAAAATGTCAGTTTAGATTATTTATTAAGTTATAATTGAAGTTTGCGTTAAATAAAGTTAGATGGAGATAAAGAAATGACAATGTGACGAAGATAGAGCTCTCATTTTATCGTTGTCTTACTTCATTGAATAAATCTCAACTGACATTTTGAATATTAAGTTTTATATTTGTTTTGATTTCTAAAATCGAAAAAACTTCAAAAACGTTTCACAAATATTAACATTTTTTTTAAACATTTTTAATTTACATATTTATATATTTTTTTGTTTTAAATGTTTTTAATTTATATATTAATCTCTAATCTAATAATTTATTATTGTATTATGAAATTATTATATATTTTTATAATCATTAATTATTTTTATAATCTAACAAATTTATTTTATATATAAATTATTATAATGAAAAATAGAATATATTTTTTTAATTGATATAGGTTATTCTAATAATATAAATAGATATAATAAATAAAATAGATATAATAAAAAACTGATATATATTTAATCTGGGAATTATTAAATTTACAACAAAATTAGTAATATTTGTTTATTAGTAATGTTGCATTATTATTACTTTTATACATATTTGATATTGGCCATCAACAAATATGTTACAATTTTCATCTCCCCACATTCTCATGTTTATTCGTTTGTTTGGAAACTAACGATATTATTTTATAATAATACATAATCCATAGTCATTATGTGACAAGTATCAGTAGTATTCGTTAGTACAATAATTGTATAATTGTACACTGTATTTGTAGCTTCTTTCACAGGTAAATTATTATATAAAAAGTAATTAAACAATTGAATGTAAATTTTATTCGATAAAATTGAATAAGATAGAATAATTGCAATTAAATTAATTGATTTAAACAATAGAAGACGATATGCATTTATGATCGCGAAGAAAGAAATGATTTAATTAATTTGTGGAACCGTGAGACACTCGAATCACAATATGCGTACACCGTTGCCGTAGTTTCAGAAATTGAATATTTAAAAGAAGCTAATTTTTTTGCTATGCGGAACAAGAGTTTCAGGGCAGAATCATTCTTTCTTTCTTCGTAAAAAAATAGTTTACTGCAAGTGCATCGAATTTAGCGCAAATCTCTAATTCCTCTGAACACAACCGTTCAAATTTTATCATCAAACGCTAATATTTAAAAAATGGTTAGTCGATTTTACAATATAATAAATATTTCAATTTTTGAAACAGAATTTATTTTTTTCTAATTTATATTGAAATATATCTTTCTTAAAAATTTTTAATGATTTTATTTTTTCGAAACTTATTTCATTGATGTCGATTTATATTATTTGATGGAATTAATTATTCTATTGTTTGTCCATATCCATATCTTAAATAATTATATAATTTACATAAATTAATATATATTATATATAATATAAAATATATAATATATATTAATATATAATTTACACATATATAATTTTTTGTTAATTTTATAATGATTAAGAACAGATTAAGAATAATCGACATAACCATTTTTCATTAGAAATGTTCTTTATTTGCAAAATAAGCGACAGTATTAAGTATTTTGTAACTTCGTCGTAATCGGCTGCATATAATGAGTATATTATGTATATTGCTGTACTCATGCGACGATTAGATAGTTCGTCCTTCCATATTTCGAAATTTTTTTCATGAAAACCGACCAAAATTCTAATACTTTAAATTCTGCATATGTTTCAATATTTCATTAATAAAATTAAATAACTTTCATTTTTTTAAAAAAGTAATATATCAAAATAACAACAATTACAAACAATAATTATCTTTGTTTTATATTATTAAATTTATATTTTATGAATCTGTATATATTTCGAATTATTTATATAATATAATAAATATGTAATTTTTATAAATCGGTTTCCATTAGAATTTCGACGAAAGTGCAAACTCACGCAGACAAGTTAAGCGAAATGGTTTACAATAAGGAATATTTTTTGGAAAACACATCTTCGGACTCACAGCCGTTATTGTCAGTTGTCATGGACGTTACTAAATACTCGGTACATACAACGCGTAACTGGTAAATCGAATCGCTGTACTCCTGGGATCCATTAACTAGAATATTGATTATGTATTTTTGATATGAATTGTTTCACCCGAAATTTTCAGATGATAATTTGCTCATTTGATACGCGTATTGCAATCAGTAATATGCATCGAAAATTTACTAAAAGCTTCATTATAACGAATATTAAAAGTTGATTATTTGCATATTAAGAATTTAACAATGTTGAAGAATTTTGAATTAATCAATTGTCGATAAATAGGAAAACATTGGATAATCATTATTAGAAATTATTTACTTTGAATTTTACAATTTAAATCTAAACGATTTATTAATCATTATTGTTATTTACGAATTTGAAGACTTTCAATTTTAATTTTGAATAATATTTGAAAGTATTCTTATATTCATCACACTATTATATATTTATATACACATCTATTGGTCATTTGTTTTTTTTTAATGTTTAATAATTAATATATTGTTAAAATTCTAATAAAGTGAAAGACTTCAATCGAAATATATATAATCGATACTCAGAATCGAAGCTCATTGATACAAGATACGATTCGTGGATCCCTCGTGTACGACATTTCGATTTTGAAACATTTCATTGTCAAGATATACCTGTATTAAAAGTATATCGTAATATTGCTAAATGAATCGTGAAAGTAATATTTTCGTTGCTACGATTATAAATATTGATAATTTAGCGGTATGGATTTTCCTAATCAAAAAGTATTTTAATTTTTTTTCTTTCGAGAAAAAATAATCGAATTCTCGAGTAATAATTTTGACTGATAATTTTCCAATATATTTTTTATTCAATTTTTGTTTAATTTTTTTATATTAAAAATGAAATCAAAATTCAATAAATATAAGACTTTAGTCATTTGTTTCCGTCAAATTAGAAACGATTGAAATCTTGACTCGAGGTAATGTCTACTTATATATCTATATTGGCTATTAGAAAATTACATTTGATCCACTTTACACTTGTAAATCTAAATTTCAATGCAGTTTTTATTACATAACAGTATGTATTTGCAAAAATACATGACATGTTTATAAAACATTTAATATGCTATTATTATTGTAGAATATGACATCGACAAATATAAATATGCAATAGCAAATAATAAAATACAAGTGTAAAGGGTAAAAAATTTTTAATAACATAACAAAATGTTGCAGGCTAATGTGAAAAGCGAATCGAAATGACGAAAATCAGTGCATACTGCCATCTATGCGTAAGTGGTGAAGAAAACCAGTAACCGGTATAGCGAACAGTATAGCGTGAAAAGAAGCGTCTCCGGATGTGTTTCTAATTGATTTTGCTTCTAGTATAGCGATCAACACAGTGGAACTACAGATTCACATCTTTACTAAACTTTACTAACTAATTGGACTTGTTCATCGTGTCATTAACTCGTACAAGATTGGATTAGGTGAAAGTGCGCCGACCTATTATACCAGACAACACTTCTATCTTAAAACAATGTTCTTCTTCTTTCTTTTCTTTTCATAATAACATTTAAAAATATTCAATTTTTTCCTCGATTTCGAATAGATATTTAGGATATTTTCGAATGTTTCTTTAGGTTAAATGATGTTATTCAGATTTGAAAATTCATATTGCTAATTTCTCTTTAAGATATCAATTAAATCTAAACGAAGATACAATTTGCAATGTAATAGATATGACTGGCATCAAGAATTTGACAGAATCACTTTTATAATGGATCATTTTAATTAGAAATATGTCAATAAATAAATTCAAAGACGAATTGAAAAACAAAATAAGAGAATGAGATAGTTTATTCTAATTAATAAATTAATTGGAATAGTTGGCGAGCTGAATAGGTTGGCAAAGATTTCAGTTCATACAGAATAACGAAATGATGTTACCGATGTTATTGTGCCGTAATTAGCCTAATTTCAGTGAAGAGAGCCTGATTTTAGCAAAGTGAATATTGTTCGTGAACGAAATCGTTGATGGTCAACGTAAGTGAATAAAATGTGGGCAATCTTCAAGTTTCGAGCATAACCTCAATTTTTTTTGTTTTGGTGATCCATCCATTTCATGCACTAAATCGTCCGTATAGAGATTCATAAATATACACGGTAATTATACGAATGTGACAGAAGCACGATAATAATCGGTTAAAATTTCGAGTGACGAGAGAGAATATCTTACAATAGATAATGCATTTACTAGGCACCACGATGCATCGCAGCAACCTTTCTAGTTAATTGGTGTCTCAATAAAACGGAACTGTGGATAAGATATTCAAGTAATTTTTTTTTAATTTAATCTCAATTTTATTTGTAATTCTAATTTTAGTTGACACAGTCGAGCTTCAACAAAGCCATAGCATTATCGATGCACTTTTAAAATAAATATAGTAAAAATAATGATTTATGAAGTTGAAAGCTAAAACAAAGAAATGAGATGATAATTTTTTTTATGTTTAAATTCCAATAGAAAAACTGATTTTTATACAGCGACAATGATATTTAAATTGTATAACGATACAATTCATTTATTTAATATCTGAATTTCAAACAAGGCTGCCACGATGCAAGCTCGAAAGCACAGTGCACCCATGTGTATATAACAAAAAGTCAACAAGTAAACGTGCAATAAATCAATCGATTGCAAATCGCCTTATAAATTGTATAAAAATCTCTATTTGCCTAGCTTAATGCCTTAAGGATACGGTATTGGGAATTTGTATAATTCCTACAGTTATGCCCAGTCAAAGAGACACTGTTGCATTTATTATTTTTGTTTAGCAATCTCGTATTCACTACACAGGAAAAACACCTGTTTTCTGTGCACTCAGCGATAAGTACGGTGAATTTCATTCAGACTCTTTTTTCCGTTAAATGCATTGAAAGATATTTAACAAAAAGGTTTATTATATATTTTTTATAAGCAGAAAAGTCATTTTATAAATAATTGATAATAAAATTTAATAAAATTTAAAGATATATATTAAAATAAATATAAAAAGACAATAAAGAAAGATTGATACAGCAATTATCATCAATAAG